TAGATTTGAAAATGTCATGGGCTATGATTTAATTTCTTTATTGTGGTGTTTGAGACATTAAGTTTGCCAAAAATACACAAATACTGCCTTTTATGAAAATGGCACTACTCCCTTTTTTTTGCATGGGATTTTCAGGCTAAATTGCTAAGCAACATATTTCAAACAGTGGCGTTTATGTGGGCCTTTCACATATTTGTTTAGAGTGTAGAGTGGGGCTTTTGATGTGAAGTTAGTCTAAAAGAAAGCTTGAAACTTTTGCTGTTGGTCGTTGCTATGAGAGTAAATCTCTGACAGTTCTCAAAGGACATGAGCCACGGTCTATTTTAGGCCATTCCCAACTGCTGAGGGTGATCCCGAGGGGTGGATAACCAACTGCTTTCACACAGTCATGAATGTAGCTTAGCCTATATGCTTAACCCAAAACACTAAAGGCCCCCTAATTAAATTTTAATGTGATGCTGGAACAATACAGTTTTCTAAAGTGGGAAATCACGTGATCTGTCTTGGTGCTAAAGTTTAAACTAGTCCAGCAGTTCATCTTTGATCTCTTTAACAAGGTACATTACAAGCATCAGTGCAAAGATAAGTTATCTGAACTCATCTAAACTCGAAGAGGGTCAAGCCTGCTCTCTGTCAGCTTGCATCACTTTCCCATCATCCGGTCACCCTTGTGTCCACACTTCCTGTCTCACAGCTGGCCTGCCAAGTCTCCCATGACCCTTTGCTGCTGTGCTTCTGTTTTGTTTAGAGAGAAACTGGGACATCTGGGATGAGCTGCAGTCTCATGGGATTTCAGCTGCTGTGGTTCAGTGTGAAGAGAAGCGCAAACATGTCTTAATCGGCCCATTGCCATCCTGTGCTGTCAGTTTGTGAATCAGACCATCCCTGTATCTAAAATGCACATTTTGGTGGAAGGAGGAAGTGTAGCAGTGCCAGAGGGGCTGAGTGAGCAGCGAGCAGAAAGAGCACATTCCAGAAGGCAGCAGAGCCCTGTGATTTTAGCAGGCTGTCACAGGGATTAGGTTACTCTGTCTGCCTCTGTGAGCTCATGCTGCTGCTGTCTCAGTGCCTCAGCAGTCTTGCCGAGCAGTGATACACTGTATGCCCACACAGTGAAGATAGACAAGGAACCATAGTTGTTCTTTTTGGCTTGTTTAGCTGATACAATATCCAACTGTTGTGAGGTTTTCTTGTTTGTTTGTTCATTTTGTTTAACAAATAACTTCTCATATGACTTGTAAAAGGACAAAAATTGACGTCAGTGCAGCTCTGGCTATTTTCTACTCATGCTTGTCTCCAGGACAGCATCTCTATAAAATGCATTCCACTATGAGTCCACTAGGGGTGCTCTTTGACTGGCTCTTTACTTGTGTGCTTTTTTTCTCCCCCTTTTTCTCATGCAAAGACTCGAGAGGTTATGGCAGTAGCTGTAGATTGCAGGATGTGGTGAATTCATGTCAGTGTTGTTTTATTGTAATACAAGAACTGACAAAGTTGCACTGTGCATCTTCATTACACTGCTAATTTGCAGTTATTGCGGTTTGTGGTTTACGCCGTCACTTGAGCCTCGTCAAATTTTGTGTAACAGAAAGGTATTTTCTGATGACTCTAAATAAAGGATCGCTGACCTGTGTTCAATACCCCAGTCATGCCATTTGGGTTAGTTTTACATTGCTGATGGGAAACAGTTGTGATTAGAGTTGGTACTCTTGAGAACATGAGTGGTTGACTTGTATTAACACTGCTTGACCTGTCACTAGCCTGGTGTGACATTAGATAACGTTGAGCCAGACTAACCGCTTGGTTTATAATTCTGCACATTAGCATGACACAAATAGGCCCACTTTCTTTATAAACACACATTCCACTTGTGGTAATACCCCCACACTGAGTTCAATCTTGAGCTGTTAGCTGTGAAGTGACATCTTTTCAGCATACACTCAGCTGGTTGTTTTGTGTAAAAACTGCCCCGGTATGTTTCTAATATTTTCTGATACTTTGTCAGATATTACTTGATTAATCTAAATTATAATTCAGCCTTTTAAGCAGATGATACTGATAATAATAACATGTTGGAAAAGTTCTCAGTAAAGAAGCTACTAGAACACAGGTTTTTATTCTGTTTCAAGGCAGAATATTAAAGATGATTTTTTTTTTTGTTTGTTTTATTGACAGCAGACTGGTTTTGAATGTTACGAGGGAGGAATAGTAGAGCTGCCACGAGCAGGGAAAACCCTGCACTTACCACAGGCCACCAGATCTGGCTACTTCTCCAACCATTTCATGCAGTCTCAGTGCCCTCATTGATGACCACAAAGCTTGCCCGTAGAGATTGTGTTTTTGCCTTATGTTTGGCACCCACGTTATTTTTCCCAGTGCTTGGTTTCTTCAAAACATCCATACTACTACTACTTACTCATTATAAAGGTCACAGGCTATTTGTCTGGGAGCATTGAGTCATGACATCATCGCATTTGATAATCTTGTCCACTGAACATTTCCACATCAGCAGCCCTTGCCCTCGTAGTGGTTTTTTGTTGTTGCTGTTGTTATTGGTTGGCCTCTTTTCTCCTCCACATCACTGCGAATCATCAGTGAATATGTTTTTTTTGTTTTGTTTTTTATTTTTACTTGTCTTGCAAAATCCTCCAACTACAGGTGATTCTGCATATGTTAATTCATCTCAACTCTAAATGGAAAGACAGTTTTTTCACATTTTTGGTTTGTTAACCTAATTTTTGTCTCACAAATGCAAGACGGCGGCGAATATGAACATATGCAGCAGCACAGTGCTCCCGAACTACAATTTTGTTGTACATGTACAATGACAATAAAGGGCTATTCTACTGTATTTTATAATTTAAGAGGAGTCCTTTTTTGTTGTTTTGTTTTTAAAGTTGTGAGTTAGAAAGATAAATGTGAAAACATTTAGTCACAAAGTCAATAAGATCGATGCGTGTTATGTGCTGCTGGCGGATTGGGCTTACCTGTTAATTCTGCCTGGCAGCAGGGTAAGTGGAGATCCACAGTTGATGTTAATGTGACACCGTTTGAGCAGTTTGACCCGTCTGACCTCTCGCGTAGCGCTTTGGGGCAAGGCGACTGGTCTCGGCTCAGTATGCAGCTGCATGATTAGCTCAGGGCATCTGTCGCTTAACTTTTTGATCCTCCCTCACATTCGCATCGCAAGTCACTGTGGTGTTAATGTGCACTTAGTGCTTAGCCATCTTAGATGTGGGGGGTGATGGGTTGCAGCGTGTTTTCTGAAAATGGGAGGAATAGCTGTGCACTTGCGATTTGGTCATGAAATACTAGGGAGAGTGTAAAATGGGAAAACTATAGTAAGGGTGGGATGTTGTAAATGGAGGAGGAGCGCATATACACACTTGTATTCCTGTTTTGGCAGACAGTTATCCAGCCCAGCCCAGGGAGTGGAGAGATTGTTGCTTTTGTCTTGGGTGAAGGAGGCTCTCGAGAAGAGTAAATCAGCTCTTTGTTTTTTTTGTGCCACTCCCTAACATGTCTCGCAGTGTTCATTAATTTAATTAAGGATGGAAAAGGAGCATGCAATAACAAGCCATGAGATAAAACCACATTATACACCCAAATGATTTTTTTCATTTATTTATTAGTTTTTTTGCAAATTAAGACAACACCCCATATGTGGAAAGCTCAAACCACAGGTGCCCCCCTCCCACCCAGCATTTTATGGAAGCTATGTTACACAAATAATTATTTTAATCACACCTCTTAGTTTCTGACTCTAAACTTGTTGTAGTCTTAATGTGGCAGCATCATCTCATGTTGCTTTAACCGTCTTCTGTTCTTTTTTTTTTAGTCCGCTAAGATCTCCCCAGACCTCTCTTTTTTTTTTTTTTTTTATTTGTTCTTTTTGTGTTTTGTTTTTTTTCCCGCCTCCTCTTGCTTAACCATGCTGAAACTTAGCTCTGCAGCTTCTGCTTGTGTTTGCCTAAGATCAGGTTTAGGCGTATCTCAAGGCCAGCTGCAGAAGGAAACTTAGACACTGCTGCTGCTTCAAATAAAAACCAAGAGCTCTCTATCAACGAGGTCGGTGTCTGGTCCCTGGAGTCAGTCGGGAGTTTTTGGGGCGGGGAGGGGGGGGGGTGAAGGTGAAACTCCATCCACTCTCGTGACATCAGAGCAGCTAAGCAGATGCTTCAGTGGTGCCCCACTCCCTCACTGTTGACCCAAGTATCTGCTGTATTAATCTAGCATATTCTGATTTTGCTGATGGCTGCAGGGGTCATGAGACCAGCTGTTGTGAATGTGCTCATTGTTGAACATGAAGTCTTCACAGTGGATCACAGTCTTCCGAAATCATAATTTTAGATAGCTCAGGGAACCTATGAATGATCGCAAACATCGCTGTTCATATAAGCAGAACATTTGCATTGGCGCTGCGCACAGTTTTGAATATTTATAGGCCAGTGCTAAATTTAAAATAATATCCTTCATCACTGGTGCTCGCTGAGAGCCTCGCTCACTGACGTACCCACATTTCTGACGCACAGTGCCTCTCGCTTTTTTTGCTTCCCTGTTGCAGTAATCTTTACCATCGTTCTGATTTCTCGCTTCACATTTGATGCCTAAAAGAAAAGAGAGTTTGGTAGTTTAGCATTGCTCCTAACCGCCTGTGTAAATGTATGAAGGCTTCGTTTGTACACTGTCATTGTGAATAGTCAGTTATGACTGTTATTAAAAGAATACAATTAGTGGAGGGAAATTATATCTGAAGAGACTAAACTGTGGAAATGTTGGCTGGCCTTCTGCTAATATAGTTTAATAACATCATCTGTTTCTTGGCATTGGTGCACTACAAAGACAATGTTGTAAACACACTGGGTTCATTTTATTTAAAAATCAAGAGCCAACGCTGTATAAAAGAGGAAGTTTCCTGGTAATATCGACAAATCTGCAGAGAAGAGTTTTAAGAAGAAGCAAGTAGTAATTATCTCGCATCGTTCTTGTTCTTTTTCTAGGTCAGCAGAATTGTCAGAGCCCTTGAAGTTCTCAGCTTTGATGCAGTACAGGTACGGCTGCCTGTTTCTAAACAGCTTCTAAATTTACGTCTGCTGTGTCTTCTAAATAATCATTCTACATGAGCAAACACCACAGTCTGGACATGCGTCTCAAGTGTTAGCAGACACAGGAAACAGATGCTCATAATCCATACTTGGGCAAGATATGAAGGCTCGGTATAAGTGTAAATAAGTAACTGCTACTGCTGCTCATGAGATAACAGTAGTCTCGATGACACTATTTTGAAAATGTTTTTTAATGTTTAAAAGGATTCAAAGAGTTTGTGAGGTAGAATATACGCTTTGGTCACTCTCATGTCTCTCCTTGCTCTCTCTTAGTGTTCCTAGTGCAAGATGACGGAAGAGGTGATTGTCATCGCCAAATTTGACTACATGGCCCAGCAGGACCAGGAGCTGGACATCAAGAAAAACGAGCGTCTCTGGCTTCTCGATGACTCAAAGTCCTGGTGGAGGGTTCGAAATGCCACCAACAAAACAGGCTTTGTGCCGTCCAACTATGTGGAAAGGAAAAACAGTGCCAGGAAAGCGTCTATAGTCAAGAATCTCAAAGACACACTAGGTAAAAAGTAGTTATGATTTCCTGACTTTGACTTGAAGCTGTATTAAAGTTAACACTCTTCTCCACAAATTTGTTTAGTGTTATGGAGGATCTCACCATTTCCCGGTAAAGCTTTGATGATGTTTTATGAAATATTTGCGCATGTTTGATGCCTTGCAGCATCTTTGACTGTTGGTTGATGTGCTTTGTGTTTTGCATGCTTTAAAAAAGAAAAAGAAGAGTGGCATTACAGAGCACGTTTATCTAGGTCAGCTACAATACGTCTCTGACCACATTGTTGTGGCGTGTGATGAATCTTGTGAAAGTCACCACAGGAGGATGGTCGCAGGCTGATATATGATTGGTTGAAATGCAGAGAGCGATTTTCATCTCACTGTGCACTTTAGTTTGAAACTTTAGTTTCTTGGAGCATTGTCTGATGCACGATTGTGTATTTTGAAGCATTTACTCTGGTAAGGCGGTGATCTCTATTTTTAAATGCCAATACAATTGATGTTTTCTCCTGTTGATGTGTGTTAGGTGGAGGTAAATAGGACAATTTCAAGTTTCTGTTTCTGTATGAGCAGCACCTAATCCTTTTATCTTGTCTTGAATTGATACAGCACAGGTGTTTTCTCCTCTATCTGCACCATAGTAACACAGTTTGTTTGTGATTTCTCTTTTCATAAATTACCTAGTTTTTTATGCCTTGTCTTTAGTGTCAGAAGGTTTTTTTTAAACATTGAACTCCAAACTGTTTGAACCACACGCCATCATATCCTAATTAAAGCGTAATGGCATAGCTGTTGTCAGTTTACGCTAACCCATTAGGTGTACACTAGTCATCGTCTGCTATTTATCTGCATAACATCAAATTGTAGGGGAAAAAAGGGTACTTTTTAAGCAGTTTTGTTTATTGGTGATGTGGCAGTGTCGGCGTGCTGTTGAGTAGGAGGATCTCTGCGAGGAAACCCTTTGTCCGAAAGGTGTTTTTCCTCCCGAAAGTTAAGAAACAAATGGGGCTATTCTCCGTCCTTCTAACCAGAAGTGTGTCATAAGTGTATACATTACAAACGTTTGCAAAACCCTTATCTGTTGGACACGTGAAATGTGTCTTCCTGTTAGTGTGTGCGTGAGTGCTGTGGTTAGATGAGCCTGTCAGCTCAAATGCTCTCGTAATGAAAAATCATGTAAGGGCAGGAAGCAGCCTCTCTAGTTTTTAATGTGCAGCTCATTTCTTTTCTGTTTTTGCTCACTTAAATAAGCAGGGATTTCCCTTTTTTCTCCTCTTTTTTTTTTCTGTTTATGGCGTGTAAATTTTTATTTATTTATTTATTTTTACTGCTGCAGTTTAGGTCTCCTCAGTCTTCATGTCCTAGGCTTTTATAGGTTTATTTGCCTGTCTGTTCTCTGTTGTCTGTAGTGTGTGTGTGTGTGGTTGTCATGCACCACAGCGACGAGCTTCCCCGTAACATCCCACCTGTCGGTACATCCGTTGATCAAATGGTTCACATGAACAGCTGCAGCAATGGCAACTCCAGCTATTTCTCACTTACACATACGACTCAGTAAAACATGAGCAAATGTGGTCTAACCATAAACCAAACTTTATGAAACACAAATATAGCAATAGAAAGGTTGTAAATGTATAACTTTCACTTTTTCTTGTTTTTAATGATTTATTAAGTAGATTTAAAGCATTTTAGATGTGAATTTTATGGCTGACTCTTCAATAATATGTGGGAGGGAAAACCTTTTTTTTCTTTTTTTCCCCTTCTTCTTTTCTTAGCCAGGTCCGTTGCTGGGTGTGGAGCAGTGTCATCGTTCGAAAGAATGTGTGATGGTATGATCCGTGTGTGTGTGTGTTTTAGTACTCATGTTTCCTGTGTTTGTTGTAAAGTTATGAGTGTTTCTCCCAACAACTGCAGTCATGTGACACTGAGTGTTCACTGACTCACTCAGCTGCTGCCATGTCCTCATAGATCCTTATATAATTTTTTTAAGGACACTACCCTCCTGCTTGTATATGTTGAGGAAATTACTCCTTCACTCTCTTTATTCCTTGTCTTTCCCTTTTCTTTCTCTGCGCGTATAAGTGTCAACCCCCCCTTCTTCTTCCCCTCTCCATGAGGCCTCTGTGCTCTGCCTTCCATAGCTGGACTGAAGGCCTCTATATCCCACACTCTCATTGGCTAAGCCTGACCACATGGTCACAAGTGGGCTGCCCTGCTCTGAAATCCTCCCAGCTCTCTGGGTGTTCACATGGAATAACTCTACAGCTGCAGTGGGAAGAGAGCAGGGGCCGGGAAGGAGACAGAGAGAGGGAGAGACGGCAAGCCCAAAATGGACATGGCTAACCTATTCAAACATTTCTTTCGTGAGTTTTCTACATTTCTAGTCTTCTTAAGCTGCTTTTAAAGCAAGTATGACTCATTTGTTGTTTTACAAGTTGTCCGGAAATGTTTTGTCTGAAGTTTGAGTGGCTTTTTTTTCCCTCTCCTTCTTTCACTCTCGCGCTCTCTTTCTCTCTCTGGGTGTGCAGCGGCAATTGTCAAATCTTCTTTCTTTTTCATCTTCCCTTTGTGATTTCTCACACTGGTTAGTTTTATCTTCAAGTTAACCAAGTAAATGTGTCATAATTGGAGCTGGCGGAAACTGATTTCTGTGCTAACATGTTGTGCTGGTAAAGAGAGGGTGAAAGGGTGTCTTAACAGCTTTTGTGTGTGTGTGTGTGTGTGTGTGTGTGTGTGTGTGTGTGTGTGTGTGTGTGTGAGCAGCTGCAAAGACTGGGTGGATATGCTTTTGAAAAGCCTTCTGCTGAGCCGAAGCCTGTAATTGCCTCAGCAATCGTTCTCTGCCTCTTTCTGTTGAACACACATGCATACACACAGTAATCCCACTCCAGTTCTTTCTACTATTCGTCCCAGTGAGCTAGGTGTATTACTTTATCATGCTTGAGGACCCCTACCCTGTTTAGGAATATCTTAATATATAGCCAGTGTGTATTTTCTCTTATGCTAACCCAAGGGTGCTCCCACTCATTCTAGGAGGGTCTCTTCCCCCACCGTCCACCCCACCTCCTGTCATGGGCTACAGTTGAAGGGACGCAGGGTGCTTATGTAGAACACTGTAGTCATTGTAGTCAAGAGGAGGAAGGGGTCTTTGCTGATTGATGGGACCCGGGTTCCCATCTCCCGCACCTCACTCGGTTATCAGAGGAATGTCGCTACACGGACAGCTCTGTGGGATGAGGATATTTTACAGCCATGCTGACACTCGTTTTCAAAAGGCTTCGGCACACACGCTCGCTGTAATCTCACCTTGTAACTGCTGAGTGATATCGCCTGTCTCTGTCTATCTTTCTGTGTGTGTGTGTGTGTGTCCACTGACTAGTCTGCTTGCTGTTTGAAGGATCCAGAGTATGGGGATGAAAACAACACAGAGATGAGCTAACAAATGTTTTGCTTGTGTAAACTGAGAGCTGTTAGTCTCTCTCTCTCTGTCTCTCTCCCCTCCCTCTGTTTTCCTGTTTCTCAGCCTCCCCAGCGAGCGGAAACTCTAATTTGAGCCACATTTCTCTCTGAGCATTTGGAGAAGTGAAGCCAGAGAGGAAGCAAGAAGTTAGAAGGAAGTTGAATCATATGGGGGGGAATCTATCTGTCGCACTTTCTGGCAGTCTCTGTCGCACGCTCCCTCATTTCAAAGTCCGGCTTTTCTCCAAAACCACTGATCGCTCTTCCCTGACCAAAAAGGCAAAAGACGTAATCGTAATTAGAAGTTTGGCAGGGGAGTTGTCAAGTTTACTCAGGCCTTTAGATGTTGTTCTCCTGTGAAAAGACATTTACTCGTCTTTGTTTTCCTGTATATTCTTCCATTAAGAATTGCTTAAGAGGAAGTGAGCAAGGGTCTGGACCTGTTGAACCATTGCTGATGTTAACAACGCCCTCCCCCGCCTTGTCAATTGAATTATATTGTCTACTATACTATGATTGCTTTTATTATATAATAATATACCGATTATTTTCCCAGTGAATAACCACAATTTGGTCTGTAGAGTACAGTCAAAAGATCCTGGACCTTCATGGTCACTTAAAGTGTTTGTTTATGATAATCCAAAACTCAGAAATCCAAAAGGAACAAGTAAACCTGACTGTATATCTATTGTGAGTTACTTATTTGGTTTAGTTAAAATGCAGGGGGGGTTGGCACACAGAAAAAGTTTTGTTTTAGACTTTGCTGTTATTCAGCATCATTTTGACAAACTGGTGGCTGAAGGAATATAAATATTAGCTCTCAGTAGAGCGTCTCTTTGCCCCCCTGCTTGCTGCCCACAATTGAATATCTATTGTTTGTTTGTGCAGCATGCCAGTATCATGACACTTGTTGCTTTATTGGCGTGTCCAAATAGCAATCATGTAAAAGAAAGTGGTTATGGAAATCTTTTTATTTTCTTTTTAATTGAACTGATGTGTTTGTATTGGGGGGGGGGAGCACACATGATTTACAGCATCAGCAAAATGCAATTTAAATTTAGGTCACCTGAGTAAAGGTGAAGAGAAAGTGAAAACGAGTTTTAAAGTTACTGTGCAGTTTCCTGTTTTGTTTTGGGGTTATTTGTGATTACATATGTTAACCAAATAATTTTCCTGTAGTGCCTGACTGTAGCGGTGTGCTGTCCAGATGCGTAAAGAACAGAGGAGTATTTCTCTCTGAGCGCTGCTCCGTCACAGATTTCGATGGCTGCCTGCTTGCTTTTGATGTCTCGAACAGCTGAAGTTGAAAGAAGTTTGCACGTTTCCTGCGTTTCAACCGCGTTGGCAGCTTTATTGAAGCTGTAGTCTTAAAAGGTAGCCCCGGTCGTCTCCACTGAAGAACAGCCAACTCACTCTTGTGTGTCTTTCCTTTAGCTTGTTTGATTTTTGAACTACACGTGGCTGTCATTATATTTGGCACACAAACCATACGACTGTGCGTGGCTGTTTTGCGGTACATATATTGTCTGAGTTTGCATTGCTGTGAATCTATAGAACACTTTCTGAGGCTCTGTGTTGTCACCACATGACATAAGTGTAGTTTGCGTGATAATTTAGGGAACATGAGCAGAAGTGCAGTTGAGAATATGACTGTGATTAGAGCAGGAGGACTCAAAATGCCAAAGCAGGAGTGTGTTCAGGCACTGTCAGACAGCCTGACGCGGGGTGTTGTCGTCCGCAGAGGAAGAGTCGTGAAATGGAGGGAAGCCAGGAGGTCGAAAGGGTCCTAGCAGACAATGGGACAGCCAGCCAGTGTAGGGAGGCCACAGTTGAAAAACAAAACTAGTTCCTGTCTACCACTGGTAGCTGAGCAAACTCCCCAGCACTTTCTTCTCCTCCTGCTGAGTGTACCTCATCTATAAACCCCCAAAAAAGCAACTGTTTCAGAGGTGGTTACCAACTGATGTCATGGTCTTAATCATTGTTATTTACTGCCATCTGTTGCAATATGAGTTCCTTCCTCTGTGTCCTCCTCTAAGGAAATGCACAGGAAAAAGCATGTGACGTCAAATGAGAGAAAAATTTCCAAAGCAAAGTTCTTTTTCATTTCTCTTGTTATCCTTTTTCTGGTAGCAATAGAGTAACGGTGGGGTTTGTGGGTTTCTGGGGAAGCTGAAAATCCCACACTGCATGTACACATGCACCGTGAGGGCAGAATTTTAGGTTAAGTTCAGGTGTCAGCAATGAGCGGAAACTGCTCTGTAGGTGGTGAGATGGTGTTTATTTTTAGCTTTCTACATTTAAATCTGCTTTTTTCAGTGTACATGTATCTGTAGCCAAAAGCACAGTTTTCTTTTTGTAGGCCAGCTTGGACGTTGTCCCACGAGAAATAAAACCAATAGGCTTGTTGGATTATTGCATAAAATATGGAGAATTGGTTTGTTTTCTTTGGCAAAATGGCATTTGTGTAAATGCTGTCGCCAAAAAGAAAACCCAAATTTGAGGTCATAAACTCCACTGCAGCTGAATGACGGCACAATCGGTGAGGTCTTGTGTTCGAAGTGATTGTGTTAAATGGCTTTGAGACTTTCTGTAACCTCAATTAGCGACTCGTGAGTTCTAAAATATTTCCTTTAGTAAAACGGTTTGTCTGAAGCTTGCGGTAAACACAAGCCGTATTTCAGCAGTCATTGATTTTTCACAGGGAACCAGAGGTGAAAGCACTGACTTGTTTTGGGGTTTTAAGATTCATCGCTGCTTTATTCTGTCTCATGTCTGCAGTTGAAGGATTCTGCTTCTCGTCATGTGGGTCATTTTGTGGCAAAGGTTTCATTACTAGTTGTTGCAGTGGGCTGTTGGTCAGATGAAAGATTTCCAGCTTCAGCCCTCATATAATCCAGCAGTGCTTAACCTCAGACTGTCCTGTTGCTGCCCTAATGTACGTCACTTATGTAATGTGTTACCATTATTTCATAAAAAAGACACTAAACCCAGCTACCTCTTATCTGTGCCATGATAATCTGGGATTTCTACAGGTTTGAAGATGCCTCTATACACTTTGTTTGTTGTTTGTTTGCTGTTACCACGTGTACGTGCTTGTTACTGTGCCTTTACTACTCTGCACATATCTTGTTGAGTTCGACATAATAAAAGGTCCAGAGATTGTGCTCAGAGCCCTATTCTACACAGCCACGTACATTTTTGTAATCGACCTACAGCAGCATTACAGATGGGCCCTTAGAGAAGCAGGTGCCCTCAATAACAGCCTTTTGTCTTCTGGTATTGTCTACCTGTAGCCATACAGGCAAATCTGAACTTCCTACTACTACAGATTGAGCATCTAGTCAAATTTAGTGGCTCCATGTTTTTTTTAATGCAAAGTGTTCAAGTGAGCGGAGCAGGAAGTGCCAAATAAAAACTGTGACAGGGACACTGATAAGGACTGTTGGCTGGCCAAAGAGATAAAAACTCTCAAAAATAAGTTGTCTCCGGTGTCAGTCGGAGGTAAAAGACGCATTATTTATACAGAGTTCACCTTTAACCTTTGTATGGAGCTAACTAGGCCATTTCCAACTGTGCAAAGGCACACCCCGGAGCCTGCACCTGCATAATCACTCTATGTTTGTTTGTTTGTTTGTTTCCAAGATTTGCAGATGCTTTGGCTGTTGGAAATCTAGATTTTGGTCTGTGATGTTTATGCATATTTAAAGACTTAGACTAGTGGATTTATGCTGTGGAAACATTTGTTTTTTGTAAGAAAAAACAATTTTTTTGTTGTTGTTGTTTGACATTTTACCTTCAAGTCCTAAAGACTGCACAGATGCATAACTAGCATCTGCGCAGCACTTAACCTCCACCTACAGACATCAGCTCTTAACACCCTGTCTGGAGTCTGTAGTTATGTACAGTGGTGTGACTAATAACAGGGTCTACCTGGAAGCAATTTGACGTTGGACTCTGAGCACTACCGTGAAATTTGTCTGCTCTCCTTGAGTCAGAGACACCTTTCAGTAGCAATTTATGTGTGGTAAAGGATATTCAGTATGGCGTTGTGACACATTAGTCACGTTCCCCACTCCGTCCTGGAGACTACACCCTGCCTTAGTATATAATTTCACCCAGCTGTCTTTTGATTGTGCAAGCAATAGCTTTGCAGACGTAATCAGGAATAGGGTCTCTCGTCTGCTTGCTCTATCTGATATCAGTGTCTGGTTAGTTTTAGCTTCAGTCTGGTTTACTGTCACATCATCGGTTAGAGCATAGATGTGTCATGATTACAGTAACGTCACGTGGGCTTTGTTTAAGTAGCAAAATGGCTGCCGGGTGGAAATTCTTGCCGATTGAAACAATTGCCTTAGGAATTCACAAGCTGGGAAAAAGGTTCACGGGCATGGTGACTGTTCTACTGTTAGCCTCCGGGCGTTTATCAGTGATGTAGGTCTTGAGACGAGGAGAAAGATTGACTGGATGTTTGATAAAAGTTGCCCTTTTGCCAGTGGTTACCTTTGGAAATGTGTGTGGGCTAGGTTGGCATCAAATACAGAAAGGAATAGCTAGTTTGCTGATAGCCCACAGTTGATAACACGTTGATGAATATGCTCCTTATCATCTCACACCGGTCAGGTTGAGGGGGTGTTTGGAGAGTGATGGTGCTGGGTAGAGACTGGGAAGAGCACTCTAGAACAAGGAAGTCAAAAGCCTTTGATTGTATAGGTAAAATACAGCCCAGTTTAATCTCAGCTGGGACAGACTAGTAATATACATTGCAAAATGACCCATTAAAATGTATATGACATGTTGCTTTTATATACATGTAAACAAGTACCAGTACATTCTGAAGACGATGACTTTCAGTTACACAAGATCACAAGTGGCCTACAGAGATTACTTTGGAAAAATAAGTGCAATTTCGAACATGTTTTTAGTGCAAATGTATTCAAAGTGGATCCCGTGCAGTTGCAGTGTAGAAAGATCTTTAACTTTCTGTTCTATTGTTTATCTGTCCTCACATGACATACAGCATTGTATTGAATGTTTTTTTTATTTTTACCTTCCTCATGAATTCTTTGCAGTGCTCACAGTTTGCAGAATTGTTACCTGCCCTGTGCGTCATGTTTCTGATGCTCCTGAGTTTTTTTGTTTTTTGTGTCAAGCTGCAGGTGATTAGTTCAATGTGATTAGCAGCAATGAAATAGTATTAGTTGTTGTTTTGTTTTTTTTAACCACTGTTGGGTAGCAGCAGTTTACTTTCTTTCGAGTTTCCACAGAGTTTATAGGTCCATGCCAAAACAAGTTTTCATCCCACTCACTTTTTTCCCCCCAGCACACCAGCATTGCATTTTTTTTTTCCTTGTTTCCTCAGCACCTAGGCCTAATCCCCAAGAATGTATTTGGATTTGGACTGTGGAGCGGGGGGTTAGGGGAATGTAATGTTGAAAAGGAATGATGTTTAGCCCTGCTTACCCACCCACTCACCCACCCAGCCCATAATGCTTATTATTGCTCCCTGGTATTTGTCTGGGATTTTTTCTTCCTGCCTTAAATTTTCATGTTTATAATGGGAAGTGTGTGCAGTTTTGGTTTTTTGTGTTTGTTTGTTTTTTAATTCCAGACTTGTTCCGCAACATCACGGGGAAAATAAAATTCCAAAGAACTGGCCTTTTTTTTTGTTTTAATTGAAATGATGACTTTTAAATTTGAATGTAGACAAATAAGCATGTCTCGGCTGCTTTTCAGATTCTGATCAAATTCACTGGGTTCAATTTTAATATGAATGACGATAATGATTCCCCTGCAAACAGCAACATCTTTACTATATTTGTCATATATTTTTTTTTATTTTTTTAGGAATTGGGAAAGTGAAGAGCAGAAAGGGGGGTATGAGAGATCCAGCCCCTAATGCTGACCCAGATATGAATGCAGATAACGGAGAGAGGCTGTATGACCTCAACCTTCCCGCCCTGGTCAAGTTCAGCTACACAGCAGAGCGTGAGGATGAGCTGTCTCTGGTGAAGGGAACACGTGTGGTGGTGATGGAGAAGTGCAGCGACGGCTGGTGGCGCGGTAGCTACAACGGACGGTCAGGCTGGTTTCCGTCCAACTATGTGACGGAGGACGTGGATGGGACGGCGGGGGGAGGGGGTATGGGCGGACTCGACCCTGCCGGATCGCTGACAGAGAAACTGGCTGCGGTGGTGAACATCACAGCGAACGGAAACCGAGTGCTGCACACAGTTCAGGCGCTCTACCCGTTCAGCTCAGGCAACGACGAGGAACTGAACTTTGAGAAGGGCGAGGTAATGGAGGTGGTGGAGAAGCCCGAGAACGACCCGGAGTGGTGGAAGTGCCGCAAAGCGGATGGACAGCTGGGCTTGGTGCCCAAGAACTACGTCACTGTGCTGGACTCCACCTCCCATAATCCGCAAGCGGGGCTCGCTGGGCCGCCCACACCCGAGTGCGACTACATCTTGCCATCAGGCAGCGGGCGCTTTGCGGGGAAGGAGTGGTACTACGGAAAGGTGACGCGCCACCAGGCAGAGGTGGCGCTCAATCAAAGAGGCACAGAGGGAGACTTCCTCATCCGAGACAGCGAGTCATCGGTCAGTAGCCTCCACCTTCTCCTTGGTTTATCTTGTTATGTGTCGGTGCTTTGAAACACTGTTAGTAACCCCGGTTCTCTTTTCATTTTTAGCCAAACGACTTTTCCATCTCCCTGAAGGCGCAGAGCAAGAACAAGCATTTCAAAGTGCAGCTGAAGGAAAACCTTTACTGCATCGGACAGCGCAAGTTCAACTCTATGGAAGAGCTTGTTGAACACTACAAAAAGGCCCCCATCTTCACCAGTGAGCAGGGAGACAAACTGTACCTGATTAAAGCCCTGGCTGCTTCCTGATCCATCTGTCTCACACAGTGATGCACACACACACACACACACCTCTACACATTATTTTCATCAACATATAATACAGATACTTACACAAGAACACACACTAACATTTCAGCTCCAAGCCTGAAGACTTAACACATCATCAGGACTTAAATGATATGTGATTTGTCACAGATTTGTGAGCATTCCAAGAGGAGGTGTGGGGGAAAAAAGCATGGGAGAGACATTGAGGAGGGAGATGGCAAGAAGGTGGACTCCTGAGAGTAACTACAGACCTCTTGGTTGCCTATTTTAAATTATCCAGATGTGTTAGGTCATAGGCAATGCTATGGTTATTTCCACCTTGATATCTATTGCATTTAGTTTTCTTTTCCTTTTTTGTTGTTGATGTTGTTGATAATATATAATCTTTTTAACGGTTTCTTTTAAAAATGTGATTTTTTTTTTTTAACTTTACACATTATACAACCAACACCTGACTGAGGCATTTTCTTTCAGATGTTAGCAAACTCGAGAGCTGAGCCGAGCCTATAGGTCTACATTTCAGCTTATTTCTTTTTGTCTGTCTTAAGGCGCTGTTTGTGGCTGTGGACAAACTAATACACAACTTCTGCTAATCCCGAATAAAAATGAAGTGACCAAAATATATTTATTGATACAATTCTGTAATGATCAATGTTGTAGAGATTGGAATATCACACTGTGCATTTTCTTTTTCTTTTTTTTTTAAGGATTTCAAGGTTTCCTCTTATTGTAAAAGGTCAAACTCTCTATATAGTGGTCTTCCTTTGTACAACAGTATTGCTTGTCTCACATATTGCTGTATCTGTATCACGTGAATGTTACAAAACCGAGGCAGCGTAGATAGGGATTTTAAATCCTCTAACTTTGCATGGACGCGCACAAACCGAATAGTGTCCTAACACCTTCCGCCTAGCTCCGACAGGAGAGGGAGAGACAGTCCACAGGGGTGACGGGGAGTTTATCTTTGCATATAAAGGTCATGTGAAGACTCAAAGTATTTTTCCCTCCTGGGTCTCTCCTCCACCCCCGGCCCAGTGTGTGGGTGACAGCAGATGTGTCTTCGGTGTTGCCAAAGGGGATGGAGATGGACGGCAGTGAGGTGAGCCAGGGTGAGCTGCGCGGCTTCCAAAAATATATACAGTGCTGGTTTGCCGGAGCTCTGAGGAGAAATGGAGGGCTGGGAGGGATGATGTCACTGCTCCCTGAATTGGTGATCACTGGAGGGAATGGAGGAGTTGAGGGTTACCCAGGGGTCGCGTTTGTGTGGTTGCAAAGCGTACACGTCGAGCTTAAGCCAGCACTGGGGTTGTCGGAGAACAATTCCTTATGCTGGAGAAATGATTAAGAAAGTGCTTGTTTTCTTTTGATTAATGTATCCTAAGAGCTGCTTTAAATGTACATGCAGTCAAACTTTGGGACATTAAGCTGGTTTTACCAAATGTATGTTCAATGTCCGTATGTCTGAATGCTTTCAGCAGCACACATGGTTTATATTTACAGTGAAGGACTTCTAGTGAATGGCTGTTTTTGAGTGAAAGTGGACCAAGTAGTTGAATGTTGTGCGGCAGCTAGTGCCGCTGCGTGCTGCCTGCAATCAAAGCTGCAGCAGTGTCGGCGGGGAGCCGCTTCAGCAGTGTGCTCCGGGAGATGCCGATCACGATGATGATGATCACGATGCCTGCGATGATGAGTTCTCCAGCTGTGGCCAGTTGGACCCGAGTACAGGGAGAGAGAGGAAGGAGGAGGAAAGGGGGAAAATGGACATTTAAAAGAAAAAAAGAGGTGAATCAGGAGCAAAGGAGGAGACTGAGACTTTTTTCCATTGGATAAGAGTATCTGGAATCGCACACCCAGGCAGGGAAATTGTTGCTATATCATAGCAGAGACTAAAGGAGTTGAGATGGGAGGGTTCTGGAGGTCTAGTTAATCCAAGCATGAAAAAAAAATTCAGTCATGCCACAAAGAACACAAAACATGGGTGTGAACCTTTTTTCCCCTCCCTCCATTCCCCAGGTGATTGACTGAGCTATTCACACAGAGAGCTGTGAGCAGACTTTCCTCTGTCCTGGACTTGTATAAGATGAATTCTAAACAGTGAAACAATCGGCTTTCAGTTTGGTTTATGATGGGTGAAAAGTGCAAGCGCCAATTTTAAACCTGCACTGCACCACTTGAAATCTGAATTGAAGTCGGATTATGTCTTATTTAAACGTTTAAGGCGGGAAAAGAAAAAAAAAACATTCCAGGAGTGCACGGCTTCTGGAGGGATTTCTGAATGTGTGGTTTAAAGTGTCAGCATGGCTTGAGCGATTTTGGTTTTTTGGGTCCCAAACTATTTTTATGTCACGATGTTAAAGGGACAATTAGTGCCTGTTTGTGCTTCATTTTCAGTCACTAGATCAGTATGTGGGTCATATAAATTCTGTCACATTTCCTTTATTACGCCCAGATCAGTGGCTGTTTGTTGTACAGCTGCCGTTTTGCTCTATGTGAAACAGCATTTCCCTACACTTTGAATCAGTCCTGGCAAAAATGCCCTCCCTAACGTTCAGTTCTGTAAGCATCCTGCAATATTACGCAACGCCAACGCAACGTGCCCCAGTTTGAAGAATCGAGGAAGGGATTTAAAAATGTGCCTTCACAATTTTTTTTTTTTTTTTTTTTTGTTTGTCTACCAAAGGTTTAGTAACCGCTCCCCCCAAACCTTCTTTTATTCTTATGTCTTTATCCTGTGCTTCCCACTTCTCCACTGCGACGTATTTGGTTAAAGCTTTGCATGCGCGTCAGTTAAGTGATTAGTGAGCGATGTTTTGGGATGTCCTTCCTTATAGGGAAGAGCATTTCCTGGTGACGCAGGCTGAAAATGTCATTGTCTGACTTTTTTTTTTCTTTTTAAATCTCCTGCATAAAATGCCCATTAGTTGATATTGTGTGTAGTTTCAAGTGACCTTACCGTAGCTGATTTTAATCAAGTATAACATAAGTGAATGCCTACATTGTACAGTATGAAACTATGTGCTGATGTTCATTCAGAAACGTAACACCAGGTGTGATATAATCATGACCTGAATCTCCATGTATGAGCACCTCAAGTAACGGTATCACATTATTGTTGGTTGTGAGAAACTGTCACGGTTTCTAAGGATATAGTTTGTTTTTTTTAAATGTCTGTATGTAAAACTAGTGTTAAGACATCCACTTTTCCAGTTTAGCCACTTAAATATGGAAAAAAAAAAAGCAAAAAAATCCTGAGTACCTAAATGTTTTACTTGATATTCCAATGCAGAACTACAGTATCTCCATGCTTAGATATCGTTAATGGGATCTTTCTCACTTTACAAGAATGGAGGCCGCATGAGCAGAGCCTCGGAGCTGTACAGAAAATGGTTTGAAATCTGCAGAAAAAGAAACGCTGAAGTCAGTTGTGACTGATATTATCAAGAGATTGTCTATCAAACTATTAAAGATGGAAAACTACAGCGCAGCAGAAGCTTCTTCCTGACTGCTCAACTAGCCTGAGATCTTTTTTTTTTTATTATTATTATTATTATTTTCATGAATTTCTTGATAATATTCAGAACAAGTGGCTCTGGTGTTAAATCTTTGGTGCTTTGTGCTGCTTACATTTCTATGGTGGTCTTTAACTCACAATGCTTTTTTTTTTTTTTTCCCCTCTTTTTCTTTCCCTCCCCCTCCCTGTACGAGAGTGAAGAAAACGGATGATAAAGGCAGTGCTGTGAAAATTTAATGTCATGCTCTTAATACTGTTTTTATGGAGGGGAGATTGTCTTCAGGTGTAATAATTTAGAAGAGTCTATTAGAGTGTTCAAAAGACGTAATAAACAGCATAAAAATGATCCCGTCTGTTTTTAATCTTGTCGTTTGCTCAGTCTGGGACAAAACAGGTGATGTATGAAGCCACAAACTGTATGACCCAGCGCAGTGTGGTTACAGCTTAAACGGCAGTACACTATTGCATGAGGAAAGCTGTGGGATTTTTAAATGATTCATTCCTGCCACCTGGTGGCCTTTAGTAACATTACATTTACTAGTCCTAACAACCCAAACCAATATTAAAAGAAAGTCTTTCGTACTTATTTTGGTGGGGGTGGGAATAAAAGGACACCATGCTTGTAATATTTTAAAATATAATACTCTTTTTATTTGGATCATTCCATATACAAAATACTTTGTCATCAGAGAGGGGAGGGGAGGTTACAAGGGGGGGGGGCTTTTTCAGTCCAGCGTACCCATTTATCACATCAAAAGACCTCGGTGCTGACGTGCTCCAAAACCCCTTCACGCAGGATGGTTTGGAGCACGAGAGACAAAGTGTGATTGTGCTGTTGTTACGCAACGTCGGACCGAGCCGGGCCAAAATCTCACCATGGTCCTACAGTAGCTGACCCTGGTTTTTTCCACTGTCTGCTATAGAAGAGCAGCAGGAGCTTTCTCCTGAGCCAGCGTTGGTCCTCGTGCCAATGGGGTGGCCCCACAAGATTCCCATAAGGCAAAACGTTACAAGTTTTTGGGAAAAAATATTTAGAGCTAGAAGGAGAAACTAATTTTTTTTAAAGATTTTTTACCACAGCACGGGATAAGGATGCAGCGCTTATAGCTATGAGTAGATTTTGGCTCTGCTGATACCAAACCACTACCAAAGTAGTTACTCAACAGAGAATATCTGTATAGATAAAGTTATGCTTCTTGCCAGACACATGAAAGCAAAGTGCAATAATTTACTTACAATTTACAAAACCTTTTTGTTATTCATATATATATATATATATATATATATATAAGGCTTGATTGATCATTAGATGATTTCAAGTGCTGAGGACCAAATGGCAGGAACCCCACTTAGTCTGTAGATCTGTGTAACTGCTACCTAGCTGAAGAATATCACACTATCTGATTCTCAGGGTGAGCTAAACACAGGAACTGCTTCTCTTCTAGAAGTAAAGGAGGTCAGATATGGCACCCGGCAGGTGGGTCATCACCTGCATTCTGATCCACCAGTGCGGCTCCATGGGGTTGTAGCGTGTGTGAGGACGCTTGGACATGATGGCGTCGGTGATGTCATCCAGCACGGAGACCGTATCCTTCTGCCCGCTGCTGCAGTAAGAGCGCATCAGAGCCATGTTCTGCTCGAAGTGGGTCTTCCCATAATCCTCCTTCACCTCCGAGGGCGCCTCGCTCCACAGCTTATTGGCCGTGGTAGCCACGATGTCGCGGGTCAAGATGCCAGTGGCCACAATGAAGTTGCCCGGTTCGATTATGGACACTTTTACGCCCCACGCTTTCATCTCGTAGCGGAGGCAGTCAGAAAAGGCTTCCACGCCGTATTTGGAAATGCAGTACGGTGACCTCATGATGTTGCCCATCCTTCCATACATGCTGGCCACGTTCACGACACGGCCTGTGGTCAAGAGATACAAGGGGACAGATTTTAGACTCTCCAAATAAATGCATCATAATTTAAAAGTGAATTAAGAGCCTTTAGTGCACTTTTAAAGCTGCTAAGCTTGCAGGTCCAGAGTTCAGATGTCTTTAGGAACATTTCTTGGCTATTTGCTTAGCTCAGCAAATAACGGCCCCTCACTGTTTCTTGAACAGTCACTCATAACACACTTGTTAACAGAGCTGCTGTTCTGTTAACGTCTGCGAAGTTTTCTTTTCTCTTCAGCACAGCTTTGATAACACTGTTTTTTGCTTTACTTCGAAACACAATTTATTCCTATTTTATAGTAATGTTTCTATATATTTATTCATTTATAATTGTGGTTCTTAATACTTGAAACCACTTTCAGGAATGTTCAGTGCAAATATGCTTATCAGCATTGAAGGGTTTATATAACAAAGGTTATATAATGTGTTAATATGTTCTTTCACTTCCAGCCTTGTTTGAATTGTTATAACTCTTCATAGCTCACTCAAAGGCGGATGTATCTTTCAGATTTTTGCACTTTGGCGCCGTTATTTTGGACACTGTAACTGATTCCTGTTTATATGTCACAGAGTGGAGGGAAAAAAATGCAGCTTACCCTTCGCCCTGCGGATTAACGGCAAAACAGCTTTAGTAACCCTGATGGTGCCCCACAAGTTGACCTCTGACACGTGCTTGTAGGTGTCCATGGAGGTAAATTCGACCTCTCCAAACGTTGACACACCAGCATTATTCACTACAGCCCAGAGAACTGGGCAGCAGAAAGTCAGAGAGAGTGAAATGTATGAGTAAAGTCGACTTCTTTTATGTGGGATCTATTTGATTACCGAGCGACCTACCCGCTTCAGATTCACCCAGGATCTCTTTGATGTGGTCCACTGCCTTGTTCACCTGCTCTTCATTGCACACGTCCAGCTGCACGACCTTCATTCGATCTGAATGAAGTTCCTCAAGCTCCTTTGCACCGTCTCCACCTTTATCCTGTAAGCGGGGACATTAGTTAAACTCACGGCCTCAGCATAAGAGGTCTCAGTTCAATCAGCTTCAGTGCTTTTAACAAGAACAAGAGCATCAAAACCTTTTTGTGCCTTCAGTATAAACGTTTTTTCCAGTTCTTGGCGGACAGGAGTGGCTTTCTGCTGCTGTAGCCCATCTGTTTCAAGGTATGACAAACTGTACAAGCAGAGATGCTCTTCTGCATACCTTGGTTGTGACAAGTGAATATCTGGGTTACTGTCAGCTCAAAGAATTATTATCTGTTTGTTAGGCACAAGTGAAAAATAAACGTGGCAAAGAGCCCTGAAGGTATGAAATAAGCAAAAAAATAAATAAAGGTCAGCAGAGTCTTAAATCCCCTGTTCAAACATTTATTGAAGAACCCATTAATGATCCATTTTGGTTTTTAATTTTCTACTAGAACGCTAACATGCTGTTGCTGACATGACATTTTACACTGTACTGTTATGCTTATCATTCTTGTGCTTGATGTTATCATCTGCTCGTTTGTTCCTTAAGTAAATCACTTTGTGCCACACATGTAAAACAATGCTCTGTGGATGAAGTTTATTATTATTATTTTACTCATCCCACAAAAGTTCAGAGGTCACAACTAAAGAAGCGCCCATTTTTTCAAAGGCTGAATTTGCCGACATCGGTTTTGAGATAAGCTTAGGATATCTTATCTTAAAAGCACATGTTTCAATCAGTTTTTTTTAAACTCAGGAAGCAGAGTGGAGGTTGGGCTGAAAAAGGTGTATTTACAGTGTGAAAACAGGTCTACCGAAGGACATAGGTAGGGAATGATCATTCTGATATTCATGTGGGTGGGATTTGTGGCCATGTTGTTCTTGATTCCCAGCTAAGCTGTGCAATCGATACCACATCTTCCTTGGAATGGGAGATTTTCTGGAAAACGTTTTGCTCACTTCCTGTTTGCAAATCAGGGAAAAATGCAGACTCGATGAGCAACATCCTTACCTTGAGAAGACATCCGGCAAAGACTGTAAAGCCAAGTTTGTGCAGATGTTTGGCAAGAGCGTAACCAAATCCAGTGTCACAGCCTGTAATAAGCACGGCTTTCCCTTTCACCTACAGAGATGGGTACAGTACAGTTTCCCCCAAAACACACAATTAACATTATATGCAAATTAGAGAAAAAATGCTTACAAAAACACGCATATTTCGAAGTGAATGCAAACTACAGTTTGTTACAGTATAAACAAAAACTTATATTGCCCACCCCACATTACTGTAGCGTACCTTGTAAAGGATTTTCTGCGAGTTACAAGGCTTAATTTTGCATTTTACAATGTTTCACTGACATCTGTGTTCCATTTCAATGTTTTGCATGATAAAATGCAAACCAGCGATTAATCCCCGTGTTTGTTGTGACATTACCTCCACCAGTCCTCTTGGAATTCGAGGCGTCGCCACGTACAGCACAAAAACTGCGTACAGTGCAACTATGCACTCGGTCACGCTCGTCTCTGGCAACCCCAGCATCCTCATGAACGCGTTGAGCAGAGCAGGGAGTCCAAAACCCAGAACCACCGTGAGGAAAACCGAAAGAGCCACCAGGAGTACCGCTCGGAGCGCGGGCAGCGAGGCCATCTTGACGGAATGGTGTGTTTGCTTTCCTGGCGTAGCGGTCCGCTTTACAGCCGTCACCACGGGCAGGCGGCACGCCCCCTGTATCACTGCAGCGATAGAGAAGGGGATAGGGAAGTCCCCTGTTGTAATGTGTAACCGCAAAAGTAGCCGCAAAGCATCCGGTTGCAGGTGTTTTCGGCTAACCGACGTCGCCAAGTAACCATTATATCGTGTGGTGTCGTGTGGCGAGCTGTTAAGTGTCGCTCGAACCGTCGCTCGAACCAACTTCGGGCCGAGATCCACGAACAAGCCCCCGACTTAAGCACTGTCCAGCCATTATGTATCAGGAGTAAGCTCTCACTGCAAAGTCACTATGAGGTGTGTTTTTTATGCTTTACGTTAATATTTTACAT